TTTTGTCAAATAACATGAGGACATTAGAACTGAAGAAAACCAACTTAGTAGTTCTTAAAGCTCTGTTTCTGAGGTTCACGCTGAGTCCTGTACTTCAAAACGAGACCACCTGTACCCACCCCCAGTTACACTCACACATACCTGTCTCTCCTTGAAAGTATCACTAACCTTTAGACTTCACCCACTGTTCTCCTTAATAGCTCAATCTGATGGATCATTTAAAAGCCCGCTGAAACAGACAGATGTGTAATGGATTGCATGGCAAATCAATGCTGGGATCAATGGAAGACATGCATCAATAAATGGATAGAGAGCTGCTGAAATAGACACCGTAGTTAATGGGGGACAGCGTAGAACATCATTGTGTGGAGCATGCAGTGTAGGCAGGCTGACACGAGTCGCCCCCGGCTGATAAAGTGTCCTTTTGAATAATGCAGACAACAAACTGACAGTGGTAAGCTAAACTTAAGCTTGGCTGTTAGAGTGCGGCTGTGTTTTTTAGTCTCTACCCCCCAACGAACACACACACTGGCACTCAATCCATACACACTCTCTAAAGCTATAGGTGGACAATTTCTTTGCCCGAAAGACCGGAAACATATGACTCTCGTGGCACGGAAAACATACAAAAGGACACATCTGTGTTTTCTGTGCAAAAACACAAAGTCCCAGGAATCGTTTCTTTACGCACACATGAAGCATGCGAGGAAACACCAGGCCAGTTTCAGTAGGAACAGGAAGTATTTTCCTCTGATAAACAAAGTGTGTTGTTATTTTTCCTATTGGAAGACAGTGTTCCGATCTGAGGGGCCGGGACACATGATGATGTGGGGGAGCGGCACACCACAAGTGTTGAACTTGTGTTGGTCTCAGGTGGCACTCTGACTGTACACTGACTCATCCCCGCAGTACCGGACGCTCCAGTCTTGTGGTTTAAATGCCTAGCAGTGTGATGCATCCCACTAACTGATAACTGCATTTAACAGTGATGTCAGCTAAATTGAAAAAGACATTGTAATAAACAAATATAATTCTGGATAAACCTCAGCTTCTGCACAACCATGTGGTAAAACGCTACAGCTGCTTCTCATGGGCTAGAGTTATAAATCTCTGGTGAATGGCTGGTTTAAGGGTGGGTGCTGAGAAGCAGCTGTACCTGTCTAAAAATAGCTCCAAGGCTGCTGCCGGACAGCGTGTTTTAAGCTCATCATGCAGTTTAGCACAAAAGTCCTATCAACAATACCTTCCACCTGCATTAGCCCGAGCGTGGCCCCGAATCAGCATTACAACACAGGAAGTGTTGTGCAAACTGAGCGTCCGCGCATGTCCCTGCGCCTGACTCATACACCCAAACAACGGCCAAATCCTGACCACATAATTCAGACACACTTCATTTTCCAATGAGCTGAGCATTCATTATCAGCGTGCGGTGGCCTGAGGCAGAACAATCCCTCCTCGGTGTAGTGACAGCCACCGGCCGCCCTGATGGAAAACAAAACACAAGGTGGCACAGAGAACACGAAACCGTTATGACAGGCCGGATTACACCGAGCAGTAAGCACATTTTATCAGTCTTTTCTTTTAATCAGAACAGACTGAAACTCCTACATGCAGCCTGTTTTGTTTTTTTAAAGTAGGAATGCAGGTGCATGTGCACGCAGAGCACACGCTGTTTGTGTGTGATCTGCGTGCTCACACCTGTTCGGGTGTACAGTAGGGTCAACGTAATTGCTTAATGCAGAGCCCGGCAGCGTTTATGGATGCCAAACTGCGCCTGTGGGAGTCACTATAGCCCACAATCTGACTAATGAAGGCCAAGTAATCAAGCTTCAGACTCATCAACCATGTTTGCAGTAATTAAAAGGTTTATGTTCAGGATCAGGAGAGCTGTTTGAGTCAGTGTCAGAAGCCAGATTGGATGTTTATTATTTCCGGAAGCCGAAGCCAAAATCGAAATATTTGACACAAACTCCACTGATCTAATTGTTCATTTAGTTTATATAATAACACAATCTGATCATAAACGCAGCGAGCTACAGTCTTCGCATTGACGTTCGGGCACGGAGGGAGCACGCGTAAATGTACACCATGATGGATATAAATCCAATAATCAATTGTGTGCTGACTGCTGTCTGTTTGCATCATCCTAATCTATTCTGTCCTGTGGGAGTGTGTGGGGCTGTGGAGAGGACAGTAGGTTAAAAACTACACGCATCCTGGTGAGAATCCCACAGAGAAATAAACGCTAAATGTTGCACATAATCAAATTTTACCAGAGCAATTCACGTAACGGTTATTTTACATCTGCGATCTCTGATGATTCCCAATAATAGAGTCAATAACTGAATGAGAGCTGAACACAGTGTTTGTGTTAGGATATAATGTTACACCTTGTCTCAGACATGCTGATATCCACAAGGATTTCCTAGCAGAAGTTCGGCCTCTGCGGGTCTCCGGGGATCATGACTGACCTCATAAGGACATCAGATGCTGGCTGTTTGCTCACCATAATCTGGAAATGAACACAGTATTACAGGATCACCAGGACAAAACCAAACAAAAATATCTCAAATTAACCATTAGCATCATAGTTTATCAAAGTCTTCTCAGAAAGCAAGAAGATGATTTATTTCAATTTAAGAAATACGTCTTTGGTGTTTCCAGAGTGTCACCTCTTCTCTGTAATAGAAGCAGAACATACAACAAACCAGTGAGCGTGCTTTAGTTAGGGGCAGGGCTCTCTCTGGTGGCAGAGTTTTGCTAGTGTTACAGTTAATGTTCATTGTAAGAGGGATTCTGGTAAATGTGTTAAGCTATGCACTCTCAATTAAGAAGAAAAAAAATCAATTAAAAAGCAAATCATAGCTATAGTTTTTTTTTATTCGTCCCATGTGATGAGGAATACGGGAGCTTTTCTGTTTACCAGTGAGCCGAGCCTAATGCTGTGGGTGCGCACTGCTGTGTTGTGGATCCCCCACTGCTTCCTTGATTACAGCCAGTGGTTGCTTTGCAGCAGCCAATTAAAATCAAATACCATTTTCTCACATATTACCACCATTGTATTTACTTGTAGATCAATTCCCTTCAGCTGCGCCATTTTACATAATGAATGCAGAGGCTTTTGATGTGTTTGCCTGGTAGGGGATGAACGCACCACGGGAGGAGCCGATGGAGGGCCTGCTGTTCTTACCTTTTTGCCATTTAATAGTCAGAAGTGTAGGCTTTATTAAGGCTGAATGGTAATAATGTGGCGTGCTGTAAATGGCAGACCTTTGTTACCTCGATTAATCTTTTGAAATTCATCAGAAAAGTTGCATTTACCCAGGATATGTTCATTGTTATTGGGACATTTCAGTGCATTTCTCTGTAAATCCCACCTAAAGCTAATTTAGGATTTTCTCACACAACTGTTGGAACAGTACCAATTTCTATTAGTCTGCTAATTAGTTCATTCATTATCTGGTATTAGATGAACCATCTCAGGGGCCTTTCATGGGAGCAAACAGGTACATTGCTGAATTAATAAAACAGCATGAAAAAAGACCCCACACAGTACAGCCCTTTAGTAAAAAAATTACAAATCCAGAGTATCTAGAGTACTTATTATAGAGGAAGAAGTCTTCGGTTTATTTGTATATTAAAAGCTGGATTATTGTTACCTGAAAACAAAAAGCATATTAATGATGCAGATGATTTCGAAGGAGCTTCAGGTAACTGATCTGCATACAGGAGAGTAGTTTCTTTTGTCGTGTTTTCCTCCCTTCACACTGTTTGTTTGTTGCTCACAGGAGGGGATGTTGGGGATTCTCTGCTTTCTCTGTATTATTGTACCGTCTCTACTTTATAATATAAAGCACCTTGAGGCAAATTGAATTGAATTTCTGTAAAGCGATGCCTCGTACGGCCCAGTAGTTAAGTAGATACTGATTAAAGAAATGATCACCAGATCTCAGTCCAAGTGTATACAATCAGCAGTGCTACTTTTATTGTTATAGTGTAATTTGTCAAGTGGACTAATGTGTCTATAAAACTCTACTGCGCAATGAATAGTAAACACTGAGTTTTGCTTTAAAACATGCCACAAAAGGTTTAGTTCCTCACATTTAATCCAAGCGCACAAAGAAATGTAGTTAAACCTGAGAAGATCTCATGGCGCACACAATCCTTTCATTCTCCCCTTTGTGTATTAAAATCACACTCGCCTATCTCTTCTCGGTTAAGCTGTCTGCACACGTCGTTGTGGAGCAGTTGCACCTTGACTTCTCGGTGTAGTTGAACATTAGTCACATAAAGCATGGTGTGAGTAACACATTTATAACAGAGCGCACTTTCAGACCACAGCCAAGACACTGGTGCGTTTTGGGCATTTTACAGTGGGACCTTTGTGCTTAACCTTTGTGCTATATGAAGACTGAAACACTGTTTGTGCCCAGCTTAGCGACACATTAAACAAATGAACAGCCGTGATTCAATTTTTAGAGCTCTGCACAGATGACAGCCGAGTTCTTTCCTTTTTGTGACTAAAGCATAAAAAGCTGATGTTTCAGTTAAACTGTTACTTGTTGAGAAAAATCTCTGTGAAAAATGAATCTAAAATGGAACAGAGGAGTAAGAAGTTAGATATTTTTTTAAAATTCCATCTGTGTTTAAAGAAGCGTTTACTTATGATTCAACCTAATCTACACTCGTGTTCTGCGGTGCTGTTCGTTCTCCAGATCCACCCTGGACAGAGACCGTGATTGCCGGCGTAATCAGCAAAAGGTGCCAGTATCACAGATGCTGTCTCTCAGCTAATTGCACGAAGGCACGGCGGTGCACGAGGCGCAGGTGCTCGTTCTTTTCGTGAAGTCACTTAAGTGCGGTTTGCCTCCTTGTGTATGCCGGAACTTCTGAGCAAATATTTTCCGAGCTCTGTTGTCTCCCATTTAAACAGCATCGAGGATAAAAGAGACAACAGCAAAAAAAAAAAAAAAAAAGGAAATGTGGAAGCAAAGCAGCAATACAGCAAAATACTACTTTATTTATCTGCAAGGCACAGCTGCTCCTCGGGATCATGTTCCAATGTAACTACAGCAGACAAATTTGAGTTTAAAAAACAAAACCAAAAAAAAAAACCAGTGCTTAGATTCGTTTTCTCTCGCACTTCAGCAGATATGACTCCATTTTAATCAGCTTAGTGTTACAATATTCACAGTAAGACATGCTTACTACGTTGTCTTTGGTTACAATTTCTGCCACGTCGATGTCAGTTGCAGGTCTGTTACCTCTTTGGAAAGGATTGTTCCAACATGGGAAGGACAAAGGATGAAAAGAAGGAGAAAAAAAAAAAACGGGCACTGCAGAAAATTAGACAAAGAGAATAAAGCTGAAATTCTCCTACATAAGCCAACATGATTTATTTAGCACAGAGAAACTTTGTAACATTTCCCTCCACTACCCACCACCACTAAAATCCCCGAAGACAAACTAGTGTACACATCTGGCTCTTGGCCATGTTCCCATGCCCGCACTGTCAGCAGGCATTCTGGGATTGGGTTCCTGCACACAGTCTTTGTGTATCCTCTGACTGCCCGGAGCGCCAAGCCCCTGAGTCACGTTGGTGACGTCCACCAGTTCCCGCCTCTCGGACAGGGCGGTCACCATGTGTTCCAGCTTGGAGCGGATGGTTGTGTAGTGGTGCTGGCGCTCTTTGGTCAGCTTGCGGAAGCAATCCTTTAAAGTGGTGTCTGGAGCTGCCTGGGTGGGCACGGGCAGTCTGGAAGACACCAAGTGGGGAGACGTGTCCTGGCTCGGCCCTCTGCTTATTTGAGTAATGATGCTGAGATGCTGCGGGAGCTGCAGGTCGGTCTGGCTTTCAGCCTCCGTCACCGACCGCCTCGTCTGAGTCGACACGTGGCAGGTGCTGGGGGTCTCCGTCTCTTTTTCTGCTTGCTGCTCTGCAGAGAAATGTGGAGTCGTGCTGCCAGCAAGGATCTCCTCCTGAACGTGCTGCCGCTCCATCCACTCGTCGTTTAGAGTCGAAGTGTCAGACTCTGGGCTGGCTTTATGTGGAGATGCGTGGTCACAAGGTAGCTGCAATGCTAGCGTTTGTGGCTTACGGCTGGGCGTGCTTGTCAGACACGCTGGCCTCTCACTACGCAGGTGAGGGGAGGAAGCAGCTGAGTGTTTGAGGTGCTCAAAGATGCCGCTGTTGCGGACACTTGGAGGTCCGTGAGTGTTTATGGGTAGAGACTGGGCATATAGGATACGAAACTCCTCGTCAAATTTCTCAGTTATCTGACCAGAAAGCTCAATCAGGTTGCTGCTGTTTAGTTTGCCATCAGTCCAGTCGAACCTGAATTGAATTTTAAGCACATATAGCTGAAGGTAAGAAGCAGACCCAGCAAGACGGATGCATAACTTTACAGTTTAATAAATCAGGAGGGCACGATGGCTAGCGGGCTCTTACCTGTAGGAACCTGTAGCCACTCTGTTTCCATCAACCAGCATGAACCTCTCGTGAACTTTACCCGTAATGCTCGCTCCGGATCTCATGTAATAAGTTGTGCCGGTTATAGTTCGCACCTTCATTTGCTGCAAAGGATTAGGGACATGTTTTGGGTTTTTTTTTTGGGATGCTGATGTTGTGCACACAGAGCCATTCTTGTCTTAAACGAACCAGCTACATACCCGAAGGTCATCCAGGCGAACGTTGACATTTTTGCACATCTTGAGGAAAGCGGGCGCGCACGACTGGTCCAGCAGGATGTAGACAGGGACTCTGCGCTGGGAGCAGGCCTCCTGAAGGTCCTTAAAGATATCCAGGTCTGTCAGGGAGTCTGTAACTATGGCAATCACCTGCAGTGGAAAATTACAGAGGTAATATAATAGAATTCTCCTTTCGGGGGGCCGCAGCCGTGCTCTCGCAGATGTAACACATGATTGTGTTTTCATTATTATCAAATACAAGGCCCTATTCAAACAGAGCCGTGAATCTCTGTCTGACACACTCCCTGTAATGTGTGTGCTGATGAGCTTTCTATTGACTGTGGTCTGTTACCATGGCAATCGGCAGTAACGCTTGGTCAGCAAACAAATGACTTTTATACAGGAGACAAGTAGGTGCACTGTAGGGTTTGCCTCATTTTTCCCCAGCTTTGTTTTGCACCCAGATTTCTCCTTTTTCACGAGGAGGAATGGAATTTGACACGCTGCGGTAAAGGTTGCGTGTCGAGGATTAGACACGGACGTTTACATATCTTAGATTTATCGCTTCAAACTGGTGTTTTATCCACACGCAGCTTTGTCATTTGTACCACGCCTTATTTGGATGATGTTTGTGTGTGTGTGTGTGTGTGTGCGCTTTGGGTTGGGGGATGCTTGTTTTCAAGAGGCAGCATAGAAGCAGAGTTAAAATTCATAGAAACTCAGGAATGGGGCCGTTCCTTTGAGATGACCACCAGCAGTGCATGCTCACTGTGTGCTGTTACAGTCAGTGGCCTTCTTTGTACAATAAAGACATTGTGCAGTGAGTAGTGTAACATCACAAAAGAACAAACAATCTTACAGCTCGACTAGGATTAGAATATTTTTATAAGGATTGGCCCGGCTGTCGGCACGTAGCATACACAACACCACCGTTAAGCTCTAAACCTGGGAGAAAATCCAGTGTTTGAAAACATTTCTAGCGAAAGAGGGAATGGAGATGAGCGAAGCAAGTCGAGGCACATCTGGTACGCAGGTTCTACACAGGCCTGAGGTGCTACAAACTCCCTCTCTCCTCGTGCAGGAATGTCTCTTTTCAAAACCAGAGGCTGTACTGACAGCTCCCGTCAGGAACATCACATTAAATATTCATGCTTTGTTTTTGTTTGTTGCATTTTTCCCCCCGTCCTTTTAAGGTTGGTGATTTCTTCTAATCCAGATTTCAAAGCACGAACTTCTAAAATTCAAAGTGATCAAGGGAGCTCCATGTGGACAATGGAGCCTTTATGGAGACTCTTTTTTTTTTTACGTTTTCCCTCCAGAAATGATGCAAAAAAAGTGTCTACATATACTGACTTACTGACTGTGTGGTTTTTGTGGTGGTGATGGGGGGAGATAAAGCCCAGGTGATAAATGTCACCTGACAAAACCAAAATAAAAGTCCTGTTTTAGGATAATAACGCACAAATGCACTGTAGGAGTTAGAGGACTACTACAAAGGACTGTGCAAAAATAATGGTGTAAAAAACAAACTTCAAGTGAATATCACATTTCAGTGTGATACAGGATACGCATTAAAAGACAGTTTATTTTAAGGGCATGAAAAATAGAATGAATGACAGCAGATATGTGCGTGTGCGCGCGCCTGTGCGTACCTCTCTGGCACTTTTAATCATGCGCCTTGCAGCCTCCTTGCAGCTGTAAATGCATTCGCCGTAGCTGGGCTGGAAGTGCGCCACGGCCCGCGTCACTCCCCGGTAGGAGCCCGCTGTGAAGGCGGGCCATCCGAGCTCCAGGAGCGGCGGCTCCACGTCTGACACCTCTGGGAAATAAGTGACCGAGGAGCAGTCCAGGGTGCTACTGAGCGACCGCTCGAGCGCCTGTTCCTCCCCGTGGAAAGACGAGCACCGCGGTGGCACGGCGGCGCTCCTGATCTGTTGGATCTCATCGTCCGACAGAAAGTTGGGGATCCTCTCTCTCACGAGAAAGTCCAGAAAGTTATCAAGACCCCCGGACAGCAGCTCTTCCAGAGCCAGTCGGTGCCTCTCATTGTACACTTCCTGTAGGTTCAGCTCGTCTGTCCCGCGAGGTTTTGGACCAAACCTCAGAGGTGAGTCGTCCAGGCACTGAGACAGGGCCATCGCCGCGTCTCCCGCTTCCTTTTACCTGAATCACACAGGAGCGGGCAGGTAACGCTTTGACGTGCAGGAAGGAAATTTGTATTTTGTTGCTTCCCTCCGTTCGTGCTCGACGTGGATCCGCATTGGCTGCGGGGTGGTTGTCAAACCAGAGCGGCGTCACCAGACTCGCCGAGCCAGGCTGTCAGTGTAATGTAAAGGTTGTCTCATTGGCTCATTTGGAGGAAAACAAGCCTCCTGTACGTCCCTCTGCTACCCTGATCCGGTTACACCGCAGATAGCAGGGATCACCAGAGGTCCCACTCGTACGCTTTTTCGTGGTATCGTGTCTCTGAGGATTCATTTAGCTCGTAGTTCAACGTTTGTTTGTTTTGTTTTGTTTTTTTTATAAAAACACAGTTTATTAAGAAAATAAAAATGCAGACTCTCTGACTTTAGATGGAAGTAAAAACACAGGAAGCAGTTTACTCATCTGTCACAGTGAAACTCAAGATTAGGACAATATACCACAATCTATTTAATTATAGTAATATTTCACATAAACTTTAAAGTCTACATATTTATGGAGTGATGCAGTTAAGGGAAAATAATTGCAGAAAAATATGCCTAAACTTTTTTTAAATCTGGCAAGCCGGTATAACCAGAAGAGAAGCAGATCCACTAAGTTCCACCAGATCACAAACCGTCCACGAAAGCAAACAAATACTAGCTCTGAACTCTAAATCAACATGTGTCTTTTAACCTTACAGCACATGCACAAGTCTTATTCCTGCACACCGGACCTGCTGGTTGAGTTGTCTTACTTTTTTTTAAATTTGCGATTCATCTTCTTGATAGATTATCTTTGTTTTTCCTGACTGTAGGCAACGTCTAAACCCAGTGAGGACAAACTGGGAGGGGATAGCTAATCCATGTTCCGTAAATACTGGAGGCACGCATTTGTCCTATATGTTCTGATGCTGTTTTTGTATATACTGTGGGCATCCGGCTGCAGGCACTCTACTTGTTTCATATACACATAACCTAGTTCACACATGCCTAAGAAGTTAGGCTACTGCAATACTTTTAAGTAGACAGTATTGTTTGTCCAGTGGATTAGTGGATTTAGAGTGACCTTATCATACTTAATATTACCATGTAAACATGTCCTCGTGTATCTTTGATGCCGCTTGTTGATATGCTTTCTATTTTAAGTCACGATTGCTCCCTTTTAGGTATGCTGTTTTACCATTATCCATTAAATTCACAGCTTTTCTGTTTAACGCTCGTCCGCTTTTTTCCTGTGCGCTTTTACGCGCATGAGGCCAACAAGGTCACAAGGGTCACGGCCGTACAAATCCTTTTCCCTTTACATTGCGAATAACTACCACTCCTAATTTGAATAAAGGGAAATGTGTTCTTCTGTTTCAAGTTAAATGCAGACAAGTCCAATTAGGCTACAGTTACTGTGCGTCTGCGTAAATTGGTGTTATCACTATTATGCTTGTGCGTAACTGTCTATTTTAAGCCGGTGGTCTAATAGGCCTGTGCTTTAAATGACAATTCCCACAACGATTAATATTCATAGTAGCTCTTCAAGAGTATTTTTTTTTTCTAAAGATGACAGCCATCTATTGAAAAAAGCATGTGACCTAATTAGGGTTATCTTTTGGGTGATGAAGCTCAGTGAAACGGGAGATGAATGAACTGTCAAATTTCAAATATACACAATACAAAACATCTGATCGGCCTGCTTTGTATTGTAGCTACTTATAACCCGAGTGTGTTGAATGCATTGACTTACCCCTATAACGATATACCCAAATGTGCGCTGGGATTAGTATACGTACCCTCCTCCCCCTTCCACACACACACACACACACACACACACACACACACATCCCCATCTCATCCCCGCCCCTCTCCAAAATTTTAGATGAAAGGGCTTTTGGATTTTGGATGACGCTCTGTATCACGTGTTCATAGGAAATACACTCGCTATAATTTTTTTTGGAGCAGCCTCGTCCTGCACCGCCGACCATAGTTGTTTTGCAGTCTTCATACAGTGTAGCGGAGGGTGGAAAGGTAATGTAATGTAATGTACCTTGCCGTGGTCACTGACGGGTTCACGCCAGTTCACCGGGTTCACTTGAGGAGAGCTCCCACCCCCAGCTCGCCTCCTCTTCTTCGCAAAGCGCAGCGATCGGAGCTAATCCAATATTATTCATTTATATATTAATGTCGGATTCCATTTTTTACCACCGACGGCTGAGGTAAGGACACATCTTATTCATCCGAAACACGAATACGTCTCACTGGGTGACGAGGTGCGATCTCCAAAGTTGTTTACTGGAATTATGTGTCGCTATTGAATATTGAATTTTCATCTGGTGCTGTAGTGGAGGCAGTTTATATGAAGTCGCCAATGTATAAAATGGCGACAGTAGGTGGAGGAGGGGGGTGGAGGATTTTTTTGGGAATATTCATAAGGTTATATAGAGTGGCAGATCGCCTTTGGCAAGTCGGCTCCGAGGCGGTGTGTTGCCCCACAGCCTCGTGAATGGAGCGAAACGGGTTAACTCGTCAGTTTGTTACAGTTACAACCACGGATCCTCCGTCGGGCTCAAATTGCGCTCCTTCTCGCGCTATACAATGTGGCGTATGTGCTTATTTTATTGCACAACGCGCTCTGTTTCCCCCACTGTGCTGCGAGTGTGAGTGCTTTTACTTGTGAAAGACTTCTGAACACAGTAGTGTAGCAGGCTTGTCGACTGATTTTTTTTTTTATAAAAAAGAAAAAGAAAACAGCCTCCGAGTTCATAGATGTTCAAACTGTACGCCAAGTATCAATTTTCACCTATTGATCGCTCACTCGCTGCAAATTTATTTCTGTTGCCAGAGCAGAAAGGTAGGCCTGTATCTCTGTGCAAAGGACTCTTTTTCATTTCCTTCTCTTCCTCCTACCAACATGT